AAATCATTTTAGAAGTTTAGACACTTGAGAACAGAACAACTGTATCTATGGATCAAAATAATTTTAGAATCAATACAAACAATGTGAATGAGTGTTTCTGAAAAAATATGAATATAATTTGGAGTGAGTTCTTACCTCGTCAGAGCCAGATCTGAAAATCAGAAGGTCAAAAGGGACCGCTGAGAACAGATCTATAGGGAACCAGCCTTTGATATAGTGCTTGGCTATCTGGCTCGGCTGTGTGACCACCTCGTCGTTTTGGTCCACGTACGTTGTGCGAAGGTTGATGACTATATCCACAATAAACAGCAAATCCACCATAAGGTCCGCCACATTCAGAGGGTTACATGTGTAGCCACAACTCCTTTGGCGTAAATCCCAGTGTTCATCTAAGAGGAAGGCAGCTGAGTAAGGAGTGAAAACAGCCGTGTAGAGGACCAGGAGGAGAATAATCCAGTCCCAAAACGCCTTGAAGGTGCTGTAGTGAAGCACGATCCACCATGTTGTCTCTGGCACCTGGAGTTTGTATTCAGGCAGTACATCAGACTCCAAAGAAAGTACCTAAGTATAAAGAACACATCAGTATGCAGTGATTCTAACATATGAACAGTGCCTTTTAATGTGCACTGTTTGGTGCCATTTTAATGCATTTTGGGTAAACTATTTCTTCTCCAAGAAGGCAAATAAATACTCAGTGCATTAACCAATCACAAAATAGCAACACTTCTTACTTTGACACAAGGCAGATCTAATCTTTTGCTTTAAAACAAAGCAGTAAAAACAAGTTCATTCTCTGAAAAAATAATAATACTAACCAATAGACTGCTTTGACCAAATTCTTGGCGGCGGCTGCATGCTCTGGTTTTGCGAACTTGTTGGTCCAATAAATCCTTGACCATCCTGTCATTGGTAACTCTCAACGGACATGAGACTTGTGTAAAGATTACATCCAGATAGTACAGATATTTTTAGATAGTTAAACATCCTCAAGGGTGAAGCTAAAGCAACTGTGCTGTCACACCGTGCAAGAGCAGACTGCAGGATGCTGGCGGGCTGGAGGGCTATAATGATGAGTTGGGCATTACAGTCACATAACTGAGCTCATGTGCTGCCACAGTCCTCGAGTTCCCTTTAACCCAATTTCAAATTAATATTTACTGCACTAATTAATCGCACTGACCTTGCATGCAGACATATTTATCTATTAAATATATAAACAGTTAGATTTATATATAGACAGATGGATTATCAGATGGACAGACAGAGGAATCAACAAGTGACCCTGTGCGGCAATGTTTTGGGTCATTGCAAACACTTCCCTTGCATTTGTTTCATATCCACACACCATCCCACAGAGGCAGTGATGCAGAATGCCGAGCCCCAGGGCTCCAGCAGTCACAACAGTTGGCATGAACTGAACCGTGGCTCAATGTAACTTTGCTTTTCGCATCCAGAAAGAAAACATCAAAGCCACCAAACCACCTACTGATTTTTCCACTGGCAGGTTAATTAACAGCATTTCTTAGAAATCAAAACATGATTAATCTATGCTCTTTAATGACGGACTGAACCTGAATGCATCACGGGGCATTACAGTCCAAGACTTTTTTGGTGGCAAATGTTGAAGTTCACTCATTTAGAGCAGTGGTTCTTAAGATGTTTCACGTCAGTGACCCCTAAACTGACACAAATTAGTTAACGGACCCCCAATTCATCAGGTTTTGTCCCAGGGTCCCCCATGTCATAGGAATTTTGCTTTTAGATGTTTTATTCCAGAGTGTGTAGAAAACCCATGATCAAAACAGTCATACATTGTCATTGTGTTACTTATGAATGGAATTATAGTGAAAACATATTATTCCCCTTTTTGCTGGGGATCTCTTGAAACCCTCTCCAGGACCCACTTTGAGAACCACTTTTGAGCTCTTAAATTTGACTTGCTGGCTCTCAGTCAGTCAGAGACTGAGCACATGTGAAGTTCTCAAACCCCCTTACCTGTGTGACCTTCTCTGTGACGTACTGAGTGCGGTCCTTCACCTTGGAGGGGTTTAGCAGCTCCATCCTGGGAGTTGGAGGTGAGCTGCATTTGGAGCCCCTGCTGGCTGGTACCCCACTCTTCAGAAGATCTGAGTCAGACATGGAGCTGTGCCAACAGGTGAGAGATTCTGAGCAATTTTTCCTTTTATTCTGTTTATTTCTTTTATTTTCTAGAAAGATATTTGACCTTTAATTGCTGAATTTATTGTCACTCCAATTCTAGTAATCAATAATATTTGTTTACTTGCTATATTACTGTACTTATTATAATGTAGTTTTCCTGCTACATTAGTCTTGGGTGGACTGTGGATTCCTTCAAATTTGTATTTTTTATTCTTAATTTAGAAAATCCCATTATCAGTGCAAAAAAACTACTCAGTGACATTTAATCTTCTGCAAGCCCACCTTAAATTCCTCTCTGCTCTGATTTCCCAGAATGCCAATCTAGCTGTGCCCCTCCCAAAAATACTCTGCCATCAGCTATACTGTATAGTCTCAACACTTGGCTCACAGAGTGTTACTGCAAAGGGAAGGCAGCAGTGACATTGTAGTAAAACCTCTTTTCAACCAAGCAAAGTCTCAATGAATGTAAATAAAAACAACATACCTTATTTGAAACCAGACCGTCAGATCCTTTCTGGCCTTTACCACTAGTAGCCATGACTCAAATATCCGTCTTTCAGGACACTTTTCTGACAAGTCTTGTCCAAAACATTCACTCTCCTCTTTCGTGGTTCATATTTAGAACAAATGTACTTCCTTCATTCAGAGGTCAATGTTGAACTCTCCACTCTGGCACATGGCAGAGAACTGCCCTGCAGCTCGCATGTAACCGCGCGACATTCGCCAACGCTGGAAACTAATTAATGCCATGCTATAGCTGAGGGCAACTGACAGGAAAATCAATGACAAGCATTGATAAATAGAGCAAATGGGCTCAGAGCCATTACACTGGACTTCCCCGTTAACATCAAATTACCATCCCACTGTTCTTGTATGCAGTTCTCTTTGATGGTATAGGTCTGAAATATAGTTCCGGCTGTGTTAAATGCATAGTGCTAGTGTGGGATCTTATTGACTACAATGTTACAGTACGCTACAGTAATATGAGGGAGTAATGACCTGTGAGGTCACTGGCTCAACATGTCCTTCAGCTTTAACCTTAAGCCATCTGTATTCTTTGTTTGTTTTAGAAATAAATATAATATATTTTTAATATATTGTTTTTCAAAGCTTTGCATGGACAGTACTTATAAAGAGGGAGTGTTTGACAGTTGACAAGAGCTAATTCTGTAGTGAGAAATTTTGGTTGCTTATTGTTCCATCACTTCACTGTGAAGAATGACAGTGTCTTACAAAAGTGAGTACACCCCTCACATTTTTGTAAATATTTGATTATATATCTTTTCATGTGACAACACTGAAGAAATTACTTTGCTACAATGTAAAGTAGTAGAGTGTACAGCTTGTATAACAGTGTAAATTTGCTCTGCTCTCATAATAACACATCACACAGCCATTAATGTCTAAACCGCTGGCAACAAAAGTGAGTACACCCGTAAGTGAAAATGTCTAAACTGGGCCCAAAGTGTCAATATTGTGCGTGCCACCATTATTTTCCAGCACTGCCTTAACCCTCTTGGGCATGGAGTTCAGAGCTTCACAGGTTGCCACTGGAGTTCTCTTCTCCTCCATGACGACACCACAGAGCTGGTGGATGTTAGAGACATTGCACTCCTCCACCTTCCATTTGAGGATGCCCCACAGAGGCTTAATAGGGTTTAGGTCTGGAAACATGCTTGGCCAGAACTGCAGGCTGACCCCCCACACCTTCAACATCTGCAGCAATGCTGGCAACACTCATACATCTATTTCCCAAAGAAAACCTCTAGATAGGATGCTAAACACGTGCACTCAATTTCTTTGGTCAACCATGGCGAGGCCTGTTCTGAGTGGAACCTGTCCTGTTGAGCCACTGTATGTCTTGGCCACCATGCTGCAGCTCAGTTTCAGGGTCTTGGCAATCTTCTTATAGCCTAGGTCATCTTTATGTAGAGAAACAATTCTATTTTCAGATTCTCAGAGTTCTTTGCCATGAGGTGCCATGTTAAACTTCCAGTGACCAGTACGAACGAGTGTGAGAGCGATAACACCAAATTTAACACACCTGCTCCCCATTCTCACCTGAGACCTTGTAACACTAACAAGTCACATGACACAGGGGAGGGAAAAAGGCTAATTGGTTCCAATTTTGACATTTTCACTTAGGGGCGTACTCACTTTTATTGCCAGCAGTTTAGATATTAGTGGCTGTGTGATGTGTTATTTTGAGGGGACAGCAAATCCACACTGTTATAAAAGCTGTACACTCATCACTTTACATTGTAGCAAAGTGTAATTTCTTCAGTGTTATCACATGAAAAGATATAATCAAATATTTACAAAAATGTGAGGGGTGTACTCACTTTTGTGAAATCCTGTACATGCAGAGTCTGACACAAGGCTGTTTTCACATTCCTCTGCTGTAGGGGGGCAAGTTTCTTTGCCCCCCTAATGTGCATGATATGTGACATCACCCCTAGTTTGGAGCCAATCATGGTGCAGTATGCAACATAGACAAGTGTGATGTGTAAAACATGAAACCTCTGTAAGTAGACTTTTCTGTGAAGTGGGACACATCCTTTTCAGCAGCTAAACTTTTGAAATTAAAAGATGTTTGCATATTCATAAATTCTGGATTATAACGGAGAAGGAGTATATCTTATTTTTGAAACTTTTAAAGACTCAGATCAGACATAGATTACTATTTTAAGCAAAACACTTTATATGTCTTGAGGGGATTTTTAAATTGATCCATGTATAAACTTTGCTTCCTTCCTCAACAAGTACAAGTGAAATTTCACTTTGATAGAACATTTTAATTTCTTCATGATCTTATAAATGATTAGTCTATGAAAAAAAGACCTATTATCACCAATGTTTAATGTTCTTCTGCATGTGCCAACATAGAAATGCAGATGCGGAAGTTATTTTACTTCCCACATCTTAACAATTTTATTTCTATTCATTAAAATTTTTTACCACACAGAAAGCATCAAAATAGCCGAGACACTCATTTTCATACTGATAATGACAAGAGGTATTTTTTTTACAAGCAGTACTGGGTATCTGTTGGCAAATCCTTTCTCTTAGAAATCAAATATTCCATGTGTAAGATATCCAGTATCCACCAAGTGTCCATGAAGTGTATTCAGCTGACAGGATGAATGTTGTCCCACACTCGCACTACGTCTACACAGTCATTGAGGGCTTCTATTAGCACTGAAGCAGCATCCAGCTGGTCCTGGTCCAGAGATGAAACGGTGCGGGGAACAAACTCCAACCCAGCAGATATAACCTGCATTCCCAGCTCCTCCAACGAGGCCCGAACTTTTTTCAGCTCCGTCATGTCACAAATAAACTAGGGAGAGAGAAACCAATAATACTACTAGTTACTACTAGTAACAGTGGTAGAGCTGCAGCTTATCATTATTTACACTCATTCATTAAAGCTATTTTTCATTAATCGCACTTAATTGTGGAAATGTTGTATTATAGTGTTTTATTCTACGAAAAGAGGGGGTTGATTTACTGGTCCTCTGAGTGGTCTGTAGCGGGGGAGATATTACTTAAAAATTTTATTTATATTGCAACAATTATGCCAAATATGTTGCAGCAATACATACTGATAGAAATTATGTGGCAGTAGTGATCACACTACAGCTTATTTAGAAACTCTGCTGAGAATCTGTAAAGATGGGACTGAAAGTGTTACAGCAACCCGCTGCTGGAAAATATGATACATGTGTTTGACTGTGTTCTACTCCTTCAGAAAGTACAGACAGTGTTTTGGTAGCACAATTAGGACAGAAAACTAGACACATGGATTGTAAAGAAACAAAAACAATTTTATCATCTGAAATATTCATGTAAATTATTTTCTTCATGCATCTCTAGAGCGTTTAACAGTTTGTTTGTGTCTTCTCTGGATTATAAAATGCATTTCATTTACTTTAGTTTGGTCAGCCAATTAATGGCTGAAGATACTTGAACAGCCATTTATTTAAGCTAAACTGGATTAATTTTTATGAACAAATACTTTGTGGTCAGCTCACACAAGTATCTCTGTGAGTCTGGTTAGAGTCATGCAGAGGCCATATTTTTTCAAATTTAAATTTCAGAGCCTACCAGGAAGGCTCCACACTCCCTCATTCCTCCCATCAGTGTTGCTGTTATCCGCATCTAGAGACGCGTTCCCTCATGTGTCCATACTTTTCGCCTCTTCTCTTCATGTCTGACCTGCAGGAGGGGCTGCTCCTCTTCATCCTCCATCTCCTGGACGTCTTCGGCTCCCGCCTCAATAGCCAGCTCCAGAGCTCGCTCCGTTGAGATATTGTGGCCTGGCACCTGCACCATACCCCTCCTGTTGAAGTTGTGGCGGGCTCCATCTGACAGCATCCCTCTGTGGATGAGTGCAGAATTACACCTCTGTGAGGCGACCTAATCCTAAATTAAACTATATGAGGAGATCGTATCTGTATCGTATCTACTTTTTTAGGTTTATTTATTTATTATTTTCAAAAATGACATGCAGCTGCTTGTTAGACAGTCAGAACTTGTAGAACTACAGTTGTGTATTTTTATTTGTGGCAGATAATATAATGATTTAAGATTATTTAAAAAAAACACAACATAAAATTAAGCCGTTATGTGTCATTAAGATAGTGTCAGAGAGTTTTGGCAAATAAACTGCAGAAACAAGCCGTAGCTCTCTGCATCTGGGTAGGAGATCCAGATTTAATAGAGTCTAGGGACATCTAGTGGCTCCTGCCATTTACATCAACCTCCATTTTCAATATAGTATGATCACCATGTATTACAGCATTCTTACCCTATTTTGTCCTGTGTATGTAATTTTTGTAGAATAATACTGCTGCATTATTGATGTACATTTAAGGCGTTCCCTTCAGACCAGTTAAAAAGTATTTGTGTACAACTAGTAGTGTTTGTTTTACCATTATGTAAGTACCAGATGTTTGGGACAGCGCAGAGGTGGATGCTCCACCAGAGTGTGAGGGCCAATAACGCAACTTTGCAACTTCCACCTTTCTCGACTCACAGTACGTGGCACGGTCTGAAATGGCCTATTGATCTTCAGTGTCAAGCAGATCAGGTTAACACCCGGGACTAACCATCAGTGGTGTGGTGCATGTGTACACAGTCACAGCAGGGTAAGATTATATAAAGCCGGTCCTGACCCATTTTTGATAAGCAGCCGTTTGATTTCCTGGTGGCTGCGTGAGGTGTTGTCAGTCAGGATCTCGATGAGCAGCAGACATCCACCGGGCCCCCGTGCTTCAAACATGTGCTGGGACGCTGGTTTAGCCTTTTCCTGTAGAGCCAAGAGAAGAGACATGAATGAGTTTCTTGTCTTGCATATTCATACTAGCACATTATTGTAAAACTGTTTCACAATACCTTTCTTCTTATATGTTATATACTGGTAAACTCATGTGCTGATCAATAGACCTGCTCCATATACAGACAGGTGACAAATTAAGGAATATTTGTAGTTTTCCAGAGACTTGGAGAATCTACTTTAAGCTGTTCAGATGTTCAAACACCTTACTAAGCCACATTATGTAGTTTTTTCTTATCGTTTTCACCCATTTGTATGTGACGGTGTTGCCAACCTACCGCACTCTTGATTGCAGCCTCTATGGACGCTTTGGGCATGTTCTTGGCTCTGCACTGCTCCAGTATGTGGGCTAAGTTTAAATTCATGTCTGGGTTGGATCCACCCTCTGCAGACGAAACGAAAAGTGAAATGAGCCATAATAGACAAGAAAACAACTGAGATTTACATGCGTGCTTTTCTTTTACGTCAGCTAGTTGTTTAATCTCACCTTTCACAGCTATCCTTATCATCATACCAAACTTCATAAACATCCTGCCCCTGGCCTCATCTTTAGGGCCCTTAATGTGTTTCACCTTTGACCACTTGTTGTGTCCTGCACATAAGGCAGAGCACAGCTGCATCGTCCTGATGGGATAGTTCCTGCACGGCGGGTACAACACACATGGAGCCGGAGACAGGACGGACTGCACCGGGGCCGGGAACCTGCCTGAGGTCGACGCGAGTGTTCGGGGGCACAGGATCCGGAGAGCCCTCAGCACCGCCGTCCCCGTCATGCCCTTCACACACACACACACCCACAGTGTACATAAATACGGGGTTACAGTAACCTGCTGAACATGTGGAGCAAAGACTTTGTCCAAGGCTGTGAGCCTCCGTCTGCAGACGAGGCCTCTAACTTTAGAAAACATTCATTTTTATATCGACAAGTAAATGAAAGAGCCTGAAGTATTCTAACCTGCTGTTAGTCCTGACAGTTGGACAAGTCAGGTGAACAAGCAGCTGCCGCTGTCCTCGTTGTGAAACCGGTACTTCCGGTTGCGATGACGTGAATTATCTGCCTTTCAAAATAAAAGATCAGTCAAGCAAAATGCTTTTAACATAACATACTGTAAGAATAAAAATGTTATTATAAGCCTTAGTGACATTCATTATTCTTAAATTGTATGTTTTTTATATATTATGAATACATTTAATTGGAATTCATACAGAGCAACAATGATTTTAACCTGGGGAAATAAATAAAACTCAATAGAAATTATTATAGTCATGTATTAATAGTAGCTATGTGTTGTAACTAAAATTGTTGTAATAAATAAAAACTATTACAAAATAATAAAATAGCTTGAGCAATGATTCAAGCATTAGGCTGACAGATTTATTGGCAGTCAAATATTCACAAACTATGGGCTAAGGTCGTCATCTAATAAATGTTGTCTCCCATGTTTTCTTTTTATGAACTAGTCATTTTTATACACACACATGTTAGCTCTCATACAAGTCCTTTCTGTCAGGATGTGGTGTGGTTGAGAGGTTAGTGGACCCAAATGTAGGACACAGAGCGGGGGAGGTACAGTTCAAAATAGTTTATTCAAGCAACAAAAGGCGAGCACACTTACTGGCAGAGTACGATGTAAACCAAAAATGACATTCAGTTAAGAATATCTTGCTGCGACCCCTGGAAGTAACCTAATAATCAGAATTCCCTTTAGGATTTCCAAATGTGGTTGGATGCATTGATGGCACACATATTCCGATCATTGCACCTTCTGAAAATGAAGCAGACTATGTCAACAGGAGATCTATCCACAGTATTAATGTGCAGGTACACTGAAGGCCTACTGTTTCTAATGGTCAAAGACTACATCACAATACTGTATCTCTCATTCTTTGCACTGTCAAGATCATATGTGATGCTGCACATATAATCCCAAATGTGGAGGCCAAGTGGCCCGGCTCTGTTCATGACTCAAGAATGTATCGGGAGTCAACCCTAAGCAATAGACTGTAAAGGGGTAAGTAAATGTATTTCCTATACACATATTTCAATGTATGCACTACACTCTTACAGGGGAATTTCTATGCAGCACTAAAGCAATGTGAACTTTCTTACAGGAGAGATTGATGGCTTTCTGCTGGGAGATAGGGGTTACCCATGCCAACCAAATCTTATTACCCCTTACCCAGAACCTGAACCAGGCCCACAGCAGCGCTTCAGTGTGGCACACTGCAGGACGAGAGCCCGGGTGGAGATGACCTAGGCCTGTTGAAAGCACGTTTCCAGTGCCTACGTTACCTCAGAGTAACCCCTGAAAGGGCCTGCGACATTATTGTGGCATGTGTTGTTCTTCATAATATTGCCATAATTAGAGGGGAGCAACACCCTGCCCTACAATTACAAGAGCCTGAGGAAGACCCCATCAACCCTGCAGATTTCCAGGATGGAAGGGTAGTCCGGGATATGATATGCTGCAATGTCTTCTCAGATTAATCATGATATCCACCACCACAAAAACAAAAATGAATAAACACAAAATCACAGCAATTTATATGGCGTTCTTCATTTCCTACAAACCCCCCCAAAATGTTACATTTTAATATAGTTTCAATACTTCCTAGAATTCACCTGTGACCACACACTCACCTCTAGCTTTTGTTTCAGAATCTTGATTTCCAGATCTGCCTTTTGGATCTGGTGGTCCAAGTATACAAGTTCTTTGCTGTTTTTTTTCCTATCTTTTTAATAAGAAGAAGTCTATATAACTCCTTAACTGGCAACTGAAAAATTTTAATTAATAGTAGATTAGAGTTACATCATGTAGATCTAAAATTCAAAATTAAACTGTGGCATTTACTGTAAATCACTGAACTGTGTTCATCTGTGCACCAGAAGTTGATGGGCCTTCCTCCTGCTGTTCTTCCACACTCTGGGGGGTAGAGATAAGAATGACCATTTATAGATATAAACTTACTAACTTCATAGAGTACACTTTATAATACTATTTGTCATAATTTATGGTGTATTGAGTAGGCTACTTACAACTGCCTGGGGTTATGTTGGGACAGGAGGCTCCAAGAGATATTACCATCCGAATCTGTTGGGACCAACCAAAAAACCCAACCCAAAATAATGTAAATGGAAATATGGCTTCGATAGATTATTTCAACGATTTATCGATGTGTCGTTTAAGAAGTAGGCTACCTTTGCTTGGCGGCGCCGCCCCCGTAACGGGATCAGCTGTCCACGTTTATAGGTGATAGACATTTATTAGTCCTTTCGTAAATTCATACAGCAAACATCAGACTACACAGCCGCTTTACAAACACACACATCACCCCAGTGCTCTACAAGTTATACTAAAGGCTCGTGCAGCCTACACGACTTTAAGCGTCGGCCGATAGCCGTGCAGTTCAATTTAACTCTCTCTCCTCCGACGCTGCAGCCTTGTTGCTTTTTTTTAAAAAAAAACGTCTTCAAATTCTGCATATGCTTACATAAGCACATCCAGTTCTGCTGGGGAGAAATACGCAGACCTCTTTTTGTCTGACTTTGTTGCCAAGGTGACTCATTATATCTGCGCTCCATTGATAAGGGCTTTTTATAGTTGTGGTGCACTCGCTTAACTAAGAGTCGGTCAACTTAGAGTTGATTGAACTAACTCATTTCAGCTGTTCTGTAACCGGAAACTCAGAGTTTCCCATCTCAGGGTAAGTCAACTCAGAGTTGGTTGAACCTCCTTATTGAAACGGGCCTCAGGTAACTTCGGGGTTAAGCCTGGGTTTTCAGTAGGCCTACCACGAAGGTGGTTCACTTCTTACCGGGGTAGATCTCCATGGTAACTTATGCTGAACGGCTAACGGAGCAGGGCCCTGTTTCAGAAAGCGGGTTTAGTGAAAACTCTGATTAAGTTGAGCCTGAGATGAGGGAAACTCTGGGTTTTCGGTTTCAGAGATCGAGATCAGATAAACTCTGTAACCCCGGCAACTTACGCTGTGAACCTAACCTGCTGGGGAGGAGGTTTACTTCAACTAACGTTGAGTTTCTCTCTGACTCCTCCTCTCCTGCGGAGCTTGAAGCGGCCGTCTGACATTTCCTCATTCAGACTGTCGATATCAAAGCACATATTGGAACATAGTTACGTCTTTAGAAACATCGTAATCACGGAAAAATAGCTGTTAGTTTTTTTACCCAAACATGATCTTGAACATGACGCTTTTATGATCAATATTGTCATCGATGTATGGACAGAGAGTTATCTTTGGACATCGTAAATTTATCCTCAGCACAGAATAAAATTTATAAACTACACTGTCCTTTATAACACAGTGACTCTGTGGACATTAAGGCAAAACACTTTGGCTACTGTGCGCTACAGTAATCACTGTTTAAAGTAATCTGTACAAAACTGATCAATGAACAGTAACCTTTCATATTGTAGTCGCACAGATTGAACATTCCCATCGTAGTTATCAACTGGAGATGATGTGAATATTGTTGCGTTTTTTCAGATTTTGAGAAAGGAGAGGCTCAGTCCAATGAAAATTAACAAAAAGATTTAATTACAAAAATTAGTGAATAAAGAGATGGCATTACAGAACAAACAAATAACACTGCAGTGGACTGAAAAGTTGGTCCTCCGTTCAGATTTACAGCTTTCAGTCAAGTCCGAACAGACTGAGCTAAAGCCGCGTCCAGCAGTGGACTGTAAGCTGCTTCTCCTCCCAGATCCACAGCTTACAGTCCTGATTCTCACAAAATAAATTGTTAATATCCTCTAGGTATGTGGGCGGGTCCATTTTCCTCCAAATGGCTTAGGTCCATAGCCATTGGTCGTCACCCAATTGGGAAGGGTGTACCTTACTGTTCTACCTTTTGGTCGAACAAAAGAGCACCGATCCCAGACGTGAAACCCCGCTTCAATCTACAGGAATAAACAGTCTTTTGCTCTAAACTAATCATAGAGAACAACTGGGCTTGTCTCCAAAATGGTTGACACCTTGACCTATCTTAAGTGTCAATGAAACAGTCAAACAAAACAGTCCTTCTGGCACTAAACAAAGAGGTGTCAGTTTTCTTCACATTACAAAGAGGATACAAACAATGGTTTAATCAACATTCTAATGCAATTGCCTGGCCTAAAATCCTGCAGTTTTACATTTGAAGAAAAACACTGAAACACTGGAATTAAGTTTGTTGTAACTTTTTAAAACTCAACAATCCCTCCTTTCACACCATTTATTGGTGTGAAATCACTATTAGACTTAGCAAATCTACAATGATGTCATTGAAATGTCAGAAGTTGTAAAATCAAATCATGGTTTAAGCAAAAAATCATCTTCCTCTTCTCTGACCTCTTCCTCCTGCGTTGGTAACATGCCAATGTTACGTCTCCCCTCTGCATCCTCTTCTTGCGTCTTCACTGGTTATGACAGTTATTGTCCTTTTTTGTGTGCAACAGTCCGTGTAGAAAATCAGTGTAAATGACATCAGTTCAATTGGTGAGTGCAAATGAATCAATAATCTGTGTGGGTGTTGTGGTTATATGAGTACTAGTGCAGTCTGTTTATTGAGAGCTCCAAGACTTGTCTGTCATCTTGTTGAACTGTGCTGACCAGGACGGTGGTGAGCGCTGCAGCCATTGTCTGTGTTGTTGGAGGGGATCCTCACTGGGGAAACACTTTGCACTGTGATGCATAGACACAGGTGTCCCTCTCAGCTACCTTGGCGCCAGTTGAAGTTGTCCATATCACCTGGGATGATCTTGACTGTCTGGTGATGGTCTCACTGATTGGAACCCTGGAAACTGCACAGTGAGGCCCCCAGGTGGTGCGTGTGGCCAGGATTCTTCTGGACCTTGTTCCTCTTCCCAGGCAGTCATTGGCAACTGGGAGTAGTTAGTTGACATGTTACTCCCTCTTCCTCTCCCTGTGTTTGGTAGTCCTCTTCTGTTTGAGGATTCTCTTCCTCTCTGTAGGCCATAAGGCACTGGTGCATGTAGACCTTCGAAAGGACAATCTCTGGACCAGTGTCCTAGCTGTCCACATTTGTAACAGCCAGTGAATCCTGTTGTCCTGGGCTTATACTGTCCTGTTGATGGTGGTTTCTGGTATTGCATGGGGTATGGCTGTGGAGGAACTGGTTCTGTTGTTGCCCATGGTGGCCACGTGGGTGAAGGTGTGGTTTCTACTGGTAGCTTTTCCATTGCAGCAGCTACGGCCTGTTCAACCACGTCTTGTATTTCTCCTGCAAATGATCCCATTATCATTTGTTTTTCGGGTTTATTTTCTTTTGCTTTGTTTATAATGTCTTCTTTTTCTGCTATTTGCATCTTCAGCAGTCTTTTGTTGAGGGCCTTTAACTCTTCATCATGTTCATACTCTGTTTTGTTATATCTGCTGCAGTGATGAGTCAGTTGGAGTCGCCAGTGTTCTTCATCCATGATGTTGAGTCCCGCAATGTCTTTCAATTTGGCTTGGACTGCTAATGGGAGAGCCTTTATCACTCTGTCTCTGTACAGCATGCGATTAGAGGTGGAGTGATCATAGCGTTCTCCAGTGCTTTCCAACCATTCATCTTCACACCTTCTTAGAAAGACATGCAGCTCCTCATCAGGCATCTTTTTAAGGCTGTCCAATCCAGTAAGGGATCTTAGTGTAGGGAATTTATCTCTTACTGCCTCCCAGTAGACATTTCTGTACCTGTTGAAAGGTGTGCCATCTGCTTCAGTGGTGCATCTGGCTATTCCATCCAGTTCCCGGACTCTAATATTTCCTTCTATGCGTCTTATGAGTGCTCTTATGTCTCCCAAACAGAGCTGGTCTCCTGCTGTGTATTTCTCACATTCGATGATCCATCTTTGTCCTCCTTTTTGTAGTGGTGGCAGTTTGGTCACTAATGCTTCCATGTCCCTGTGTTTCCAAGGCTGGTAGACTGTTGCTCCTCCTCCTCCAGCCAACAGAGGGTATTGTCCCTGTGTTGTGCTTTCTATGGGTGATCAGGTGGGGCTTAAGATGGGACTGGTCAGGACTGCTCCTTCAGATGTGGTGGGTGGCAGGGCAACCTTTACTTTGCCCCTTAGTCTGTGTGTGCATGTTTTGTTGTTGTCCTCTTCTTCTGACTCAGAAGAATCACTGGAGGTGTCTTCACCTTTTTCCTTCCTCTCTGGATGTGTCACACATCCCTTCTTTTTCCTTTCTTTAATTTCTTCTTCACTTTCTTCTTGTCCTTCACTGTCATAACCAGTCCTATGTTTTCTAGGCTTTTTCTTACTCTTCGTCTTTCTCTTCTCCTCTTCTGTTTGTCTCTGCCTCAGTCTCTGTCTTTCACTTCCCAGCATGGTGGCTTCCTCCCTGAGCCTGAAGGCTCCATCTCCAGTGCACTCATTATCTCTACACATTTGTCCTTGATCCAGGGTGGAGAAGGATGGATGCACAGGGCTTGTCACTGGCGTACCGGTGCCGCCACTTCCTGTTCTGCTTGTTTCCAGTATGCTCTGGGTCTCGCTTATCATTTGCTGTGCATTTTGGGCCACAGCCAGAACCTCTGATATCAACTCATTCAGTTTTCGGTTTGCATCAGGAACTCCATCAACTTCCAGGACTCCTACTGTTACCGGCATTAAGGGGGCTTGTACAGGTGGACGAGAGGGGGTAGGGAGCCTGGGTTGAGACAGCATGTATGGTGGGGGAGCAGTGGGAATCACTGAATGTAGTCTAAGGTCCTTAAACTCATTCTGCTCTTCCTTGGTGGTGTCCGAGTTGGCCTCTTTCTCTGAGCAAGCTCCACTGGGCTCTTCTGGGATGACATGCTTCACGTACATCAACAACTGAGAGACACGTGCCATACGTTTTGCAGCCTTGTCAAGGGCTCTTTTTGTTGATCCAAATCTCGGTTCTCCTTTCCTCTCCCATTTTGTTTGAGCTTTGGACGCTTCTCCTCTTTCATATCCTATTATCCGTGTTCTGTATGTTCCAGTGGGACATGGGTCTGTATCTCCTGGGATCAATTTTCTGTCCTGCCAATCCATCCACATTTTTTCCAGCTTCTTTTTTGTTTTTCGTCTGTTTTTCTTTTCTGTGGCTGCCTCAATTTTCTGGAAAATCTTATTCTTCCGGTCTTCTGTTGTAATGCTTGAGGATGGCTGCAGGGGTTGTTTGTCTGCCATTTTGCTAATTTGTCTATCCCTGACTTCTACACATCAGTTTGTGTCTTATTCTTTGGGTTTTGGGTGTGTGTACTAAAAATGAAATAATATAACAGAACAACAGAACAAACTCTAACCCTAAGGGGGGACTCTAACCCCTCAACACTAAAACAAACAATACTTAGGGACTCTAACCCTAAGGGGGACTCTAACCCCTCAAAACAAACAATACTTAGGGACTCTAACCCTAAGGAGGGACTTTAACCCCTCAGCACATACACAAACAATACTTAGGGACTCTAACCCTAAGGGGGGACTTTAACCCCTCAACACTTAGACAAACAATACTTAGGGACTCTAACCCTAAGGGGGACTCCAACCCCTCAACACTTAGACAAACAATACTTAGGGACTCTAACCCTAAGGGGGACTCTAACCCCTCAAAACAAACAATACTTAGGGACTCTAACCCTAAGGAGGGACTTTAACCCCTCAGCACATACACAAACAATACTTAGGGACTCTAACCCTAAGGGGGACTTTAACCCCTCAACACTTAGACAAACAATACTTAGGGACTCTAACCCTAAGGGGGACTCCAACCCCTCAACACTTAGACAAACAATACTTAGGGACTCTAACCCTAAGGGGGACTCCAACCCCTCAACACTTAGACAAACAATACTTAGGGACTCTAACCCTAAGGGGGACTCCAACCCCTCAACACTTAGACAAACAATACTTAGGGACTCTAACCCTAAGGGGGGACTTTAACCCCTCAACACATACACAAACAATACTTAGGGACTCTAACCCTAAGGGGGGACTCTAACCCCTCAACACATACACAAACAATACTTAGGGACTCTAACCCTAAGGGGGACTCCAACCCCTCAACACTTAGACAAACAATACTTAGGGACTCTAACCCTAAGGGGGACTCTAACCCCTCAACACATACACAAACAATACTTAGGGACTCTAACCCTAAGGGGGACTCCAACCCCTCAACACTTAGACAAACAATACTTAGGGACTCTAACCCTAAGGGGGACTCCAACCCCTCAACACTTAGACAAACAATACTTAGGGACTCTAACCCTAAGGGGGGACTCTAACCCCTCAACACAGAACAACAATAACATACCATTGTTCTGTATTACCATCTCAAATGCTGTTTAACAGTCGGTATCTTCACTTTAAATCACTTTAAAATTTTAACAGACTTACGGAGTAGACTGTGCTTGATTCTCACACCTAAAATATCCTATACAGCCTATACAGAGTTTTGATAAAACAGGTCTCTGTTCTTACCTTCTGATATTTGGGCCCGTGTGAAAATCAGGCAATCATCTGCTCTTGGTCTGAAGTTTTGTCCTGTCCTTTTCTCAAAATCACGTCGGGGTCACCAATTGTTGCGTTTTTTCAGATTTTGAGAAAGGAGAGGCTCAGTCCAATGAAAATTAACAAAAAGATTTAATTACAAAAATTAGTGAATAAAGAGATGGCATTACAGAACAAACAAATAACACTGCAGTGGACTGAAAAGTTGGTCCTCCGTTCAGATTTACAGCTTTCAGTCAAGTCCGAACAGACTGAGCTAAAGCCGCCTCCAGCAGTGGACTGAAAAGCTGCTTCTCCTCCCAGATCCGCAGCTTACAGTCCTGATTCTCACAAAATAAATTGTTAATATCCTCTAGGTATGTGGGCGGGTCCATTTTCCTCCAAATAGCTTAGGTCCATAGCCATTGGTCGTCACCCAATTGGGAAGGGTGTACCTTACTGTTCTACCTTTTGGTCGAACAAAAGAGCACCGATCCCAGACGTGAAACCCCGCTTCAATCTACAGGAATAAACAGTCTTTTGCTCTAAACTAATCATAGAGAACAACTGGGCTTGTCTCCAAAATGGTTGACACCTTGACCTATCTTAAGTGTCAATGAAACAGTCAAACAAAACAGTCCTTCTGGCACTATACAAAGAGGTGTCAGTTTTCTTCACATTACAAAGAGGATACAAACAATGGTTTAATCAACATTCTAATGCAATTGCCTGGCCTAAAATCCTGCAGTTTTACATTTGAAGAAAAACACTGAAACACTGGAATTAAGTTTGTTGTAACTTTTTAAAACTCAACAATATTTCTGAGTGGGGATGACGGTGGTGCAACTGAAACAAATAAATGTAGTTTAAAAGTGACTCTTTCATTATTTGCTGATAGCCTGAATGTGTTTTGACAGCATTTCATAAAATACGAAATGAGCAAGATTTTATTAATGTAACATAGACGTCTAAAACTTCATAGTCAGTTTGAACCTAGACACATTTTACATTGCAAAAAAATCATTAATAGGCCTGCTGAGTCGGACTGTCACTTTACAATCAGAGGCTCATGAGCAGCCTAAACTGTGTCTAATCTGTTCAATTAATATTTTCCTCTTCAGTTATTGCCACTGGCATTTAGTCCCGTCAGGTTATAGCTGAATAAACAGGCCTGTAGCTATTTAATATGAATAACAGGCTGTAGGAGAATTCCAGCTCTTTATCATTCATTAAGGAAATTCCAATGAATGAGCAACGCTGTATAAAATGTAATGCTGTTCTGAAACAGAAAACTCGGAGTTTGACAGCTCAGAGTTGTCAACCCAGAGTTCAGGTTTACACTCAGAGTTTGTTGAACCTGCTTTCTGAAACAGGGCCACTAACAGATGCAAAACAGACCATACACTAACTGGAACTCTAAATATTAAGCAGACAAGGGCCCTGTTTCAGAAAGCAGGTTTCTGAATGAAAAACTCACTTTTAAACCACATTTATTTGTTTCAGCTGCACCACCGTCATCCTCACTCAGAAATATTCACATCATATCCAGCTGATAACTACGATGGGAATGTTCAATCTGTGCGACTACAATATGAAAGGTTACTGTTCATTGATCAGTTTTGCACAGATTACTTTAAACTGCAGCACTGTAGTGCACAGTAGGCCTAAGTGTTTTTGCCTTAATGTCCACAGAGTCACTGTGTTATAAAGGACAGTGTAGTTTATAGATTTTATTCTGTGCTGAGGATAAATTTACGATGTCCAAAGATAACTCTCTGTCCATACATCGATGACAATATTGATCATAAAAAGCGTCATGTTCAAGATCATGTTTGGGTAAAAAAAAAACTAAAAAAACTAACAGCTATTTTTCCGTGATTACGATGTTTCTAAAGACGTAACTGTGTTCCAATATGTGCTTTGATATCGACAGTCTGAATGAGGAAATGTCAGACAGCCGCTTCAAGCTCCGCAGGAGGGGAGGAGTCAGAGAGAAACTCAGTGTTAGTTGAAGTAAACCTCCTCCAGAGCAGTTTAGGTTCACAGCGTAAGTTGCCGGGGTTACAGAGTTTATCCCTCATCTCAGGCTCAACTTACTCGAGTTTTCACTAAACCTGCTTTCTGAAACAGGGCCAAGCAGGCAGAGGCATTACTGAGGGAACAGACACAAGAAAATCTAAATGCAGAAAATACACTAAACATAATAAGGCAAAACTAAAACAGGATAGACAGACAAACTATATAATTAAACTGAATAATGAGGACAGACTATAGCATAACAATCAAAATCAGAATAATAATGAAAGTAAATAGATCAGAACTACACAAACAGAACCTCCAACACGCAGTGTGAACTAGACACAAGACAACAGACAGGACTGAAACTCAAAACAGAGACAATGTAACACATACAGAAAAGACTAAAAATAACCAAACTGACTAAGAACTAACTAAGCAGAGCAGACACACCCACATTGTGACACTTTCTCTAGTTTGTAAGATGTATTGAATGAGGAAAATGTGTAATACTTCCTGAATCATGGGACCCTGAAATCTCTTTGAGGACCCCTGGGTTTTTCTGGTTGTGATTGGGAACCACTGCAGAATCAGCATACAAACTTAAAAATAACAGCAACCCAAGCAAAAATATTGTACATCTTGTGTGTCAGGGAGGTTAGCACAATAGAGATTAGAGGTTCCATACAATTGGCACAAACAGTATTGTGGGCTGTATTAGTGTCCCAGTATGGGAACAGCAAAGGAAATGTTGGTCTCCTGCCATGGGACCAAGGATTATTAAATCATACTGCTTCTATTTATTATGATAGGATATAATAGGCTTATGACCCAGTCTCTTGTCCTGGATTCATAGAAACAGGAACATACTGTATGTGCCTGAATTCCTGAACAATGCATGTGTGATCAATATGTGCGTAATTATCAAAAGGACAGTGAAAGCTAAGACCACTTTGTCTGTGGGGTTGAGAAAAAATGGGTTAAAGGAGACGAGTGAAACCCCCCCCTTAACAAACAAACATATACACAAACAGGACGGCAGAGACAGACGATCCCACCAGAGGAGCACAAAGAGTTAAGTGAGATGGAAGCCACAGCCAATCAAGGCCAACCCATCTCTGACAGAAGAGCTGTAAAAGGAGGGGATTTCTTCCATAGTGCTCCCCGCTCTCTTCTCGGCTTCTCACATCACAGACCAACTGCTGCATGGTCTCTTTAACCTGATGATGTCCACTAAGCCTCAAGGAGAATGACTGGAGACGGGAGATAATTTATGAATGTCAAGAGCCCCCAAAGCTCAAGAAGATCCCCTGAAACAGGCCCAAGAACACAACGAGCCCTGATGGGACACCAGTCCTTAACTTTAGGATACGAGTTCCTTCAGTGCAACCTGAGGAGGAGACGAGATCTGATGTTAATTAAATGTCCTGTTTAAGTCGACAGCTGAGAAGACGTCATGTTGTCTGCACAGGGAATTGGTGTCTTTGCTCTTTTCCACAGTGTCATAATTGTGACTGCACTGGTAAGTGTACTCTACTTAGCCTGAGTACTTGGGTGATTGAGTTATTGATTACTTTGTTAATTGAATGGGATAAATAACTGTTGTTTTCCTTTCATACATTTCTTTTAGTTTTTTAGTCTTTTAGTTTTTTTCTTTGCTTTTACTTTGAGTCTCTCAGAATGAGCAGAATTTAAGCATGTCAGCAATTTTTGAACAATTTTTATGATGTTTTATAATTTGTGCAACCAAGTTCAAGTGGACTTTATTTGATTGGAATAATAACAATCAGGGCAACAGAGGGATGTTTTATTGGAAATCACCAACTTAAATAAAATGAACACAGCAGTAAGTAAATTCTTTGTCTCTTAGCCCAGTGTAAACCCAACAAAGGATGGTTTTTATGTTCTAAATTTAAACTTTTCACACAGCAGCATCATATCTTGCACTCTAATATGACACTGAGTCAGAAATAACACTCCCATACCGCTGCACTTTGGACCAAATATAGAGAATTCCATGTATCTGTGACTTTCTTTGATCGGTTGAATTCATGACATAAATTTATCTCATGCTTCAGGAAACATGCCAGACATTCAGCAGCTGAAGGCCGACCATAAATGACTTGTGTAACTTTCTTTAGTTTTTTTAAAACTAATATAAATAGAAAATACTCCTAACGAGTATTGAGTATTACATCTTTTGTATAGTTTATTTCCAAATGTAAACAAATTAGATGAAAATGAAGCCTAAATGACTGACTATTGAAAAGCCAATAAATGCATTAATTCTTAACTGGGTTCTGTGTTAAAAAGAACAGCATGTTTCATTCAGCCAACGGGCTGAACACGTGAAACAGGGGTCTTTTGGGCCCACATGCAGATAGGTCTATTTACTGAGGTTTATTATATCAACAGGTGAAAACTTACAGGTGAGCAGCGAGGCAGTCAAAAAACAAACAACGTATGTCTGGAAACACGGTAGTAGTCCATAAATCCATATAACAGGGGATAAACCACAAAACACAGGAAAACACGAGAGAGAAGACTAGCAACAAAGCACAGGAAGACAAACTGGTGAATCTGCAGTTAAACAATGAGCAACAGACACACAAGGAAGAACACTTACAAAGCAAAACAGGAAACAGAACAAATAAACAGAAGGAACACAAAACATAGAGACTAGACAACAAAGAGGCAGGTAGTAAACAGAAGAGGAAAGCTTACCAACATTACCATAAGAAAAACATCAAACCCCCCCAAAATCATGACACAGCAACTAAATAACAGATAACTAATTACTAACAACCAAATAGCTGGTAAATTTATTATTTTGCAAATTTGACTGCAAAATCGTATGTCCAAATAGGAATATAACTTGGGACAAAATAGGGGAATATAAAGGCAACACACACACACACACACACACACACACACACACACACACACACACACTTACATATGCATGGTAAGTCAATCTGAAAATAATAGTGGTGTTTGATGGGATGGCAAAAAACCTGTAAAAATCAAGCACCAAGACTTTCAAACCGGCACAGCAGCAGCAGCAAAACCAAAAGAAAAGAGCCCTCAGTCACAATCATAAATCACCCGTGGTCTGCTTTACCTCACAAGCCCCCATCATCTCTGACCCCTTTCACCTTTAACCCACTGACGCATGACCCTCTTGTAGCTGAGCCCCAGAATTACAACCTCCTGCTCAGTCAGGCTTGAAATCACTTTACACCAAGCAGACGCCCGAGAAAGCAAATTCAATTATTATACAAAGGTTAAACAGACACTCTCTGTCTGTCAGCAGAAAACCCTTCCATACAAAGAAAAGTGAATCACTTCTCTGTATTGACTTGAATGTACTGAATGATGCTGCATGCCGATATACTGTGTGTTCATTTTTGTAGAGGTACAGGTTTAGGATTTTGTTTGACAGAATTTATAATTTTGGCATCAATAATCGATATGTGTTTAAATGACAGAGACACACAAATGCACACACATATACGCTGTAGGCAGCCCAGCCAGAGTGTGTCCACAATCCACCATTCAACAACAACAAGTGGTTTGAGTGGCTCAATATGCCTGTATTGACTTTGGCTGGGGATCCCCTCCCAAAACAAATCACTGTAGGAAATGTTAGCTGTTCAGCATTTTGTGTGCTACAATATTGGAAACACTGTTCACCCACTGGCAGTTTATTTTATTGGCTTATGCCAAGAATGGTAGTTATCAAATGTCCATCACCATGAATTGTTCCAGTTGGATTTTAGTCTGTTTAACAAGACTGAGACGTTTTCTTTAGCTTGTGAGGACGATGGCTGTGATCAGCAGGGGTGGACAAAGTTTTCAGATCCTTTACTTTAGTAAAAGTACCAGAGCAATAGTGTGCAAATATTCCATTACAAGTGAAACTCTCACATTTAAACTCCTATTTAAGTTAAAGTACAGAATATTAGTGTCTAAAGAATCAAAAGTAAAAGTGCTCATTCGGCTGGAAATTATCCCTGTGACAGATATATTATTGTATATTATATTATTTAATTGTTAATACAGATACTGTCATAAATGTGGTACAGACATTCATATTCCTCTCAGGATAACTCTGACTCTTCATGTAGCGCCACCATCAGGTCAAAATCTCACTTTGTCTAGCAATTTAATTTATGACCAAACATCTGCAAAACTAATGACATCCCCTTTGGCCTCTGCTGTACTTTGTTTTGTGCTAATTATCAAATGTTAGCATGCAAACAGGCTAAACTGAGATGGTAAACGTAGTAAACCTATTTCTGAACATCAGCATATTAGCGTTATCACTGTTAGCATGCTGATGTTAGCATTTAGCTCAAAACACTGCTGTTTTATCAAATGTTTTATTTATGTAAAATACACCTGTTAAATTTAGTGACTCAAAAGCACAATATTCCACACTGAAATCAGAAATACTTTATTATTGACTCCCAAGAAATTCTATAATTCTGGGAAAAACTCTAGTAGAGTAGAAGCATAAAGTAGTTTAAAAGTACATGTCTCAGCCATTGAGAAAATGTACTTTTTCTCCCCTGGATACAATTTTTGCCTAGATGTTTCTTTCTCTGTCTTTGTACCTTTCTGCCTCACAATCTCTTTCACTGGTCTCCTGTGGCGGGCAAACAATCCTCATGTGAGTTCTCTAGTTGCTAGTTTTACTGTTCTGTTGTGAAATGCACCTGGGAACACAAAGATGCTTGTGTAGACTATAGCTCACGGCCGAGGTCCTGAGGACAAGGCCCCCGTGTGGCCAGCGGCAGTCCCTCGGCTGTAAAAAAAAAAGAAGGGTCATACCGCACCCTCACACAACTATTTCACAACACCAAGAGGGCAGCACATCAGATCCTTGGGAGTGTTTGCGGTTGACGGATTGCCACAGTTTGAAAGAGACTTCAGAAAGACTTTTAGTCTGTTGGCGCCTAAACAGATGAGATGAAGCTGCTCTTGAGGCTTGGATGGACCCAATTAGACCCCTGCAGATACATTATAGCAAATTTGTGATTAGGTAAATGAGATATTTCTTAAAGGATCATGCCACCTGTTACTTTTGTTGTTTTAAAGCACTTACTACAAAGCAGGGATACTGTGCATCATAGCTATAAAAACTTATATGGGCCTTTAATTCATTACTAAGAGGTTAGTGAACCACTTCATAGCAGCTGCACAATATGATTTATCCTGTTTTTCCATTGTTACAAATCAGGTCATTTACCTGTTCTGTAAATTATTATAAAAAGGTTTAATGCTTCCATGGAAACAACATTTCTATTTCATACCATACACAGTCAGAAAATGTGCTTGCTTGTGATCCACAAATACCACTATATTTCATCTTGTGCATACTCGGCTTAACTATTTTACATCTCCCTTTTTTATCCACCTGCTACAGATAGACTCTGATGACGTCATCACACGAGATGAGCAGATCTACGTTCTGATTGGTGCTCACGCCAAGTGTGAGAGGAGCATCCAGGCACAAATGGCCCTGGTTAACGGTCTGTGTGCTGCCTTTGATCATTTTATTCATTAAAAGTTACAGGACGGTGCTCAGTTTTGCTTTGTTATCCTTTCGTCAAAAGCGTGAACCCAGTATGTGGAAGTCAGCAGCTCTGTGCCTTATTTGTTCTGTCAGAACACTGGAGCTCCTGGTAATATTTAAAAATCAGTCTCTGCAAGTAGACACGTTAAACCCATAAACTTGTATAATAAACTGTATAAAATAGATATTATTGAAATGTTTCTCATTGAATTGTTTCCTTTAGATCGGTGTGTTTTTAGTTGTGACACATACTCCATCTCTCAAAAACCAAATGTAAATCTTGGCTTCAGGTAAGAAGTCAACATTAAACCCCTTTCAAAATAATCCCAATCTCCCCCTGTTAGGGAGGTAATGTCGTTTAACAAGCATATCCAGCGTTAGAATAAAAAACACAAGAGGTCAGTGAGTGCATGTCCAAATATATAATCAGAAACAGTATTTATTACATCAATTATTTATGTAGGATCAGATACAACACACATCCCATATCCCACTGACTAGTATCTCTGTGATTACAGAGTTGAATTTATGTGCAGACAATAGCGGGACATTTTCCATTTTAGATTATGACGTAGAAGCTGATAAGTTGCTTCAATGGTCTATTTGAAGAAGAATTTTATAAACGGAGCCCCCCTCTGAAGAATGGTCTGGTAAGAGGAACACTGAAAATACTGTATTAAAAAAATTATATATATATATATATATATATATATATATATAGTATATATAGAGAGAGAGATAAAATATAAATGATGTAAAAATATAAAATATATTATATAAACATGAGAAATCATCAAAGGAAACCTGTGAAGCAGGTTCTATTTTCTTCAAACACAACCATTCAAACATTATGCTTTATTAATGTAACTAGGCCATTATATTTATTGTGCTATGCTGTGCTTAAGTACAATTTTGAGGTACTTTACTGTAGTATTTCCATTTTACGCTACTTGATACTTCAACTCCACTACATTTCAGGGGGAAATATTGTACTCTTTACTGCACTAAATGTAACTGACAGCTCCTAGTTACAAACAAATGCTTTTATGGTTTATAAGACATGATACATTATTACAGATTAAACTACCCAACAGTACCTAAAGTGGTAAAAATTAGCTTTACCTTGATTAGTAATAACATTTAACTACTGCTTACACATTGACATGTCAGAAAAAATCCAGTCACATATAATATAATAATGTGTCACTCTGAAAGGGGTCAATATGCATAATGAGTACTTCACCTTTTGATGCTTTTGAAGTATATTTATCTTCTTATTTTTACTTAAGTAAATATTTGATTTTTACTTGTAATTGAGTAGTTGGTAAGTATTTGTAATTGTTGTTTTAGTATTTAAGTAAATTATCTAAATACTTCTTCCATGGCTTGCTGTACCTATGCACTCTGCAGCTGTAATAGGGAAAAATGAAAAAAGGTGTACTACAAAAAATATCAGATCAGACTTGGTACCAGCAGATTATTATCAAAGGATCAGGAAAAAGAAAAACATTCTCTTCTTTAGAGTGAGCTATGTCTCCTTCCTATGAGAAATATACAGTAAAAGTCACTTCAAACAGAGACCCTTGCCGAGGAGCCACTTGACTTCTTGGGCTCCTGGGCCTGCTGTACCAGTGCACATATATCTGTAGCAAATCTCAAACTATACCTTTAAATAGCTAACAGCTGTTTCCCATTTTTTGTGAAGAAGATGACTGTATCCCAGAGTGGGATGGGATCATCTGCTGGCCACGGAGCGGAGCGGGTCAGATGGTTTCAGTGCTCTGTCCAGAGTACATTTACGACTTCAACCACAGAGGTGGGCGAGCTCAAAAGACATGAACATGTAGGAATAATACAGAGGCTTTGTCCTGATGTGTGGTCTAAATGTAGTCTCAGCAATAGGCTTATGGATGCTTACTTGAAATACAAACATGGGTAAAAAAAATTATGAAGATGTGGTCGTCCACTGACATTTCTACAGAGACTAATGCTAATGTGCTCATGTTGTGACTGTGTCCTGCACTCCTGTGACCCAGGGCGAGCCTACCGTCAGTGTGACGCAACAGGGAGTTGGGAGCAGGTACCAAGCATCAACCGCACTTGGGCCAACTACACAGAGTGCACCACATACTTGACCTCCAACCACAGGAGCCAAGAGGAGGTACGTACATGTGCGTTTGTCTAGATGTGTATACAGAAAGTGTATTCTCGTGCATTGGTTTAATATGTGTGTTTATGCATGTGTATGGAGTATGATAAAAAAAAGAGAAAAGGTTTATTAAGGTTAATTTATATTACTCCATACAATATCCTCAATAATGAAAATATTCTGACACCTACCAAAATGTTTCACACCTGTTTGACCTCCAATGTGTTGACAGCATTTTTGTTTTCCTTCAGAAGGTGTTTGAGAGGCTCCATCTCATGTACACTGTTGGCTACTCTGTTTCTCTAGCATCACTGTTGGTGGCGGTCTCGATCCTCTGCTATTTCAAGTAAGAAACAGAAAACTGCAGTGATATATAGCAATATTAGTATTTGTCCATAAAACATAAGACAAGATTATTAACAGTAGATTCAAAGCCCCGCCTCTCTCTCCCTCTCTCTCTCTCTCTCTCTCTCAAACACACACCCTTCAGGCGTCTCCACTGCACACGCAATTACATTCACATTCACCTCTTCACCTCCTTCATATGTCGAGCAATCAGCATTTTCGTGAAGGACGCTGTGCTCTACTCAATATCTGATGACAGTAATGCTGAGCCTGAGTTCACTGCACAGAAGCCCCACATGGTAAACTATAAGTTTTTTTATGTTGATTACCATTTATCCAGAGTTTACATTTTTTTTCATAGCTTTAAGATGCTGTATGACTGTCAGCACTGTAATGGTGGTCCACATTAGGATACAAAACATCATGTCATGTTCTTATATGTTATGAAATGAAATTTAGAGTATCCTTAAAAAAGCCTCGGTGTGATTTGTTTTGAAAGGAATGGTTTGATATTTTGGGAAATATGCTTTTGCTTTCTTGCCCTGAGTTAGATAATCAAAATGATACAACTCTTATAGGCCTACTGTAAAAATGTAGAGCCTGTTAGCTTAGCTTAGCAAAAGACTGGAAACATGGGGAAACAGCTAGCTTGGCTCAGTCCAAAAGTAACAAACTCTGCTTAGGTCCAATTAACACATTATACCTCAGTTGCTTTGCTCAGGACCTCAGGAGGCAGTTACTTCCTGGATGCTCTGCTGGTTGCAAGGCAGCTGCACCTGTCCTGTAAAACAAAAAATTGTCACTTTTTACACTTTTTGTAAACAAACACTGGTTTTGTAAACAAACAAGATATAATGTGCTAACTTTTTAACATTAGAAGTGCTGGTAAGATGATTTTGTTACTTTTGGATAGAACCAGGCTAGCTGTTTCCCCCTGTTTCCAGTCTTACTGCTAAGCTGAGCTAACTAGCTGTAGCTTCATATTTCATATCTAACAAGCATATTTCCCAAAATGTCAGATTAGTCCTTTCAGAAAAAAAAAACATAAATCCCATTACAGTAGGCTATATTACTATAATTTTTACACAGACCTGATACACCTTTCAGCATTTTATGGCCTGTTTGAATGTTTCCTTTCAATGCTGCTCTGTGTCCTCAGGCTGGCTGTAAAGTTGCTGTTACTTTCTTCCTTTATTTCCTGGCCACCAATCATTATTGGATCCTGGTGGAGGGGCTGTACTTACATAGCCTCATTTTCATGGCCTTCCTCTCTGACAAGAACTACTTATGGGCCCTCACCATCATCGGCTGGGGTAAGCTACATCAGACTATAAACTCTCTTGTAACATATTGAGCTAACAGTGAATTAACCGACTGACAGTTTTCCAATGTTTTCCATGTAAGGTGTTCCAGCTGTGTTTGTGTCTGTTTGGGTCAGTGCACGAGCATCGCTGGCAGACACACAGTGAGTCATGTGATGCATTCACCTGTCTAATATATAATGTATCACCTGTATCACAAATGCTCACTTTAACTCTTCTTTGTCTGCATTCAGATGTTGGGACATCAGTGCAGGAAACCTGAAGTGGATCTATCAAGTTCCTATTCTGGCAGCCATTGTTGTAAGATTTACATTTTAATACTTTTGAAGAGTATTTGATATTTGGGTTGAATATAACTGTACTGTTCACCTTCACCCTTGCAGGTGAATTTCCTCCTCTTCGTCAACATAATACGTGTACTGGCCTCTAAACTCTGGGAAACAAACACTGGTAAACTGGACCCTCGCCAGCAATACCGGTAATTATTCATTAAAACTTACCAGAATGATAAACACTAAAGTTTACTCTAATTATTTTCCCTCCTGAGAATTTTTCAAATGACTATTTGGCTGCCCTTGTTGGACAAGAGAGTTTTATCAAACATTTTACCCTGTTTATCTGCAGGAAGCTGCTCAAGTCCACATTAGTCCTCATGCCTTTGTTTGGGGTTCACTACATGGTGTTCATGGCTCTTCCCTACACTGAGGTCACCGGGCTGCTGTGGCAGGTGCAAATGCATTATGAGATGTTCTTCAATTCATCCCAGGTCAGAATACACATTTATAAGCAGCTAACTCTGCAAGCAATAATATGGTAAAAAGGGTTAACTAGTATTATTATGAAATATTCTGATTTGGAAAAAAAGCTGTACATAAATAAACATTTTAGCTACATTTTCTGAACACCTATTTGAATTATTTTTCATTTCAATCTAAAAATATTCCCAGAATTGATATTTATAAGATATTTCAAAAATATGTGTAATCAGGATAACTTGTACACTTAGCTAGATAGTTTGGCATTTCGGAAAATACACTTATTTGCTTTCTTTGCTGAGAGTTAGATGAGAAGATTGATACCATGACTGTCTGTTAAAGTGAGGCTACAGCAAAGAGCTAGTTATCTTAGCTTAGCATAGAGACTGGAAAGAGGGGGGAACAGCTAGCCACCATGTGTTTTTATATATTTTTTAAATGAGATATAACATGTAAAGTAGTGAGTTCTAAATTAGGCAGCTTTTTATTAGCTTTCGACAGAGCTAGGCTTGCCATTTCCCCATGTTTCCAGTCTAGATGCTATGCTAAGCTAAGCTAACCATCTGCTGGCTGTAGCTTTGTCCACGAAACCGGTACGATTTGGGCTTTCACATTTTTAGATTTTTCACTATGTTTTACTTTGCTGAGCACCCCACAACATTAATAGCATATTTAACTTTCAGAAAAACATATTTTCCCACCTCAGGTATCAAATCCCTGTTATTTTTGGTCATTACTTTATGAGATGATCAACCCTGTTACAGACACTGTGGAAGCAGTCTGAATATGATTACAAAATGCATTTGTCATGAAAGCAACATTTTCCTGTTAATCAGACGTCCCTCACACTAATTCAATAATTGCAAATATAAAAGCTAAATGAAATCTCATACTTTTACTTTACTAAAGCCTGTAACTGGCACTTTTGTGACAGCAACCATATACATTTTTTTTTATCAAAGATGTGGTTTAACTTCAGAATTTCAGCTAAAATCAATATTCTTATAATAGCTCAAAAAATTTAAGACATAGTTCCACCAATATAATTTTAGACCAATTTCAAAACTGCCTTTTATTGCAAAGATTCTAGAAAGAATTGTGTCCAAACAGCTGCTAACTGTACTGGAAAATAACAAAATATTTGAAAAGTTTCAGTCTGGTTTTAGGAAGTACCACAGCACTGAGACTGCCCTGCTTAAAGTCACCAATGACCTTTTAATGTCTGCTGATGAAGGTATGTGCTCAGTCCTGGTACTCCTGGACCTTAGCGCTGCTTTTGACACCATTGATCACAACATTATGTTAGACAGACTGAGGCACTGGGTGGGGATCTCTGGTACTGCCCTAGAATGGTTTTCATCCTACCTGTCAAATAGGAAGTTTTGCGTGTCTGTAAACAACTATGTCTCCTCGTTCTGTCCACTTAAATATGGTGTGCCTCAGGGGTCGGTCTTAGGACCCATTTTGTTTTCCTTGTATCTGCTTCCCCTTGGACATATTATCCATAAACATGGCATTTCATATTTATGCTGATGACACACAAATATACTTGCCCGTCAGATCCACAGACCCTGGAATGCTGAGTTCACTTGCCGACTGCCTTTGTGAAGTTAAAAAATGGATGTCAAATAATTTCCTCCAGCTGAACTCAGACAAAACAGAAATCCTGGTCATCGGGTCCCAGCAGATGGCAAAACAAATACTGCCATCTGCTGGTTCCCTAGTAAATCACATTAAGCCTGTGGCAAAGAACCTTGGTGTTTGGTTTGATAGTAATTTAAATTTCAAGCAGCACACCACAAAGCTTGTTCAATCATGTTTTTATCAACTTAGAAATATAGCAAAAATTTGATCTATGTTAACTTTTAAGGACACCGAAACCACTTTACACGCCTTCATCTCATCACGCCTGGATTATTGCAACAGCCTTTTCACCTGTTTAACCCAAAAATCTATTGATCGACTTCAGACTGTCCAGAACTCAGCTGCCAGGCTTTTAACCAGAACAAAGAAATATGACCACATTACTCCTATTTTAGCTTCATTACACTGGCTCCCAGTATGTTTTAGAATTGACTTTAAAATTCTATTGATCACTTTTAAAGCTCTTCATGGCCTCTCACCTTGTTATATTTCTGAACTTTTAGTCCCATACACACCAGCACGTACCTTGAGATCCTCTGGCAGAGGTCTGTTGTCTGTTCCAGAGTCTCGACTGAAAACTAAAGGGGACAGAGCGTTTGCTGTCAGGGCCCCGAGGCTCTGGAACAGCCTGCCCGAGGAAATCAGGTCGGCTGAGTCAGTGAACTCTTTTAAGTCCGTTCTTAAAACATACTTTTATAGGAGAGCCTTTCCTGATCTTTTATTTTATTGTATTTTACTAATTTTATATTTATCTGTATTTTAGTCTTTTCAATGTTTTCATGCTTTTATCTTGTATTGTTTTTTGTATTATTGTCTCTTGAGTATTATTGTCTTTACACTTGTTAAAGCACTTTGTAACTTGTTTTTGAAAAGTGCTCTACAAATAAGGATTATTATTATTATTATTATTATTATTATTATATGAAATTACTTTTTCATAAATTAAAAAACATAAAATAACAAAATGTAGGTATGACGGGGGTTGAGACTGGTAACGGGGTTGAAGAGACACTTACAGCTTAACATATAGAGGTTTTTTTTAACTGAAATTCACTGTATGATTTTCTATGAACTTTGTTTTTAATTGAATAACAATTTATGGTCAATATATTAAAATGCAGTTAATGAGTTTCATTAACCCAACTGCCATTTTTGTTTTATTTAAGTGAGGACATTTTGACTGTTCCTCACTTCTTCAAAAGACTGTTAAGAAATTTTAGATAGGTAAATGAGTAAATGAGAGATAGGTCAATAAATATTCTCACAAAGATAGAAGTATAAGTGTATGTGTGTGTGTGCATTATATACACAAATTATACACACTAGATAGGTGGATATTAGTCTTCTTTAGTTTCCTTGAGAAATACAGCCATTTCTGAGCTTTCTTTACCAGCATGGTAAACTCATTGATGACTCATTGATGCTTGTAGATGATGTGAATGATGTGAAGATTAAATCAAACACTGTTTCAGAGCAGTTTAGTTATCATTGATGTATGAAAATGTAGGCAGAACACACGTGCAGACAACATATGCATGTGGTATAAGACGGTTGATCAAATAAAATAATTAATTAAAATAACTTCATAAACAAAGTGTTAAAACACAATACAATCCAATCTCACAACCCTGTTATGATCAAAAAAGTAACGGGGTTATGATTTTTCCCCTCAGATGGCCACTGCTCTTAATGTGGTCAATAACAGGAGAGCAGTCGAGAGTAGTCTAAAAGAAGGTGGTAACTTGCTTGTCTCTGCACAATGTTGTTCAGAAGACTTATATGATGTCACTTACTGTTGTTGATGTCACAAAATCATCACTTCATTATTAGGTATGGAGCTAAATAATGTGATTTTAATGAATAATCCTGAATTTATTTAGCAAAAAAACATTAAAAGCAAAAAAGAACAGATAGATGTTTATGTAAATAGTAAATGTATGGACTTAAAATTTTCATTAGTCATATCCCAAGTATACTTTCATAGAAGGTCATGAGGAACATATATGGTGTCAACTGAAAAAAAAAATAGAATTTAAAGTGAACATAATGTTTTTACACTTTATTAAAGGGGACATTTCAATTGATTTAAAACGCTTTTAAAAATGACCCTCTAGATAAAATACACTGAAAATGGTTGGAGGGACAATCGTACCGGTTTTGTGGAATGACTCATTTAGCATACAGACGTGACCGTGGTATCAAGCTTCTCATCTAAGTCTCGTCAAGAAAACAAATAAGCGTACTGTAGAAAAAGTTGAAGTATTGTAAATGTGTGATTTGTGATATTTGGGCTATGTAAATATATATGACTTGCTTTAATCATTCTTTTAGGTAACCGAATATGTGATGTCTTGTGGCCACTACATAACAGAATACAGTTACCGTATTTAGATGCAATACATTTAGAAAAATGTGGTGTAGGCCTACTATGGTTTTTAATAAAATCTTAATTTCATCTTTGCAGGGCTTTTTTGTGGCCTTTATCTACTGTTTCTGCAATGGGGAGGTAATAAAAGCTATGATTTTGTTTGAAGAGTTATCTCAGATTTACTCAGTCTTTTGAGGTCTGATACACTTTTTGGTTGTCTCCCTGTTCCTGTTCTCAGGTGCAGGCAGAGGTAAAGAAGGCGTGGTTAAGACGCAGCCTCACGCTGGACCTGAAACAGAAAGCCAGGATGACCAGCAGTGGCGGCGGAGGCAGCTGTTACTACGGCGGCATGATGTCACACACCACCACCCACAGTGTCAGCTTGTCTGCTGCCAATCCCAGAGCGCTTTCTTTCACCGGAGGTGTGGCGGGCTCAGGAGGAACTGCTGGTGGAGGTTCAGGGGTCAGGCCGGCTCGCCACGGCACTCTTCACCCACAGACCAGCCTGCCCCGATATGTGTCCGGTGATACTGAGATGTCCGGCCCCGGAGTCTTTGCCAGGCATGCCAGAGCCAACAAGGAAAATAATAACTCAAAAAGTCAGAAAGCTTCGCCAGCCCAGCCCCCTGCAGAAGATCCAGATAGCTCCTTATCTCTAAAAGAGCTGGAGACCATCTTGTGATTGTTTTGACGTTCAGATGAGCATACATGAAATATCGACTCATTCAGACTAAATTAGATGACAGGAATGAATCTTTTTGATTTGACTAAAGCAGCTGTACAAGCCTCTATGTTTGTTGATTTGCATTTGTAAATACACGACTGAGGACCTACCAAACTAGACATTTCAAGGAAATTTCAGATATTGTTTTAATCTAGCAGCTGAACAAACTCTGTTTCCTGAAGATCGTGTGATATGAACAAAAGCTCCAGAGAAGCTACCGAGCAGACCTTGTGATGAGATTGTTTTGTCATCAACAAACTTTTTTTTGTGGATGGGATCAGATTCCATTGTATAAACTATGAGGGAAAACAAACACATTTTCATTTTGCGAAATGACAGCGAAGGCCTCAATACATCAGGATTGTATGCATGTGTCTGCGGGGGTTTGTGTTGTACTATAATCCCAACTCTCTGATGTTACACAGTCTGATGGGTTTCTTACAGATCATTTTAATTTCTGTCAGTGTTCATGAATTGTACAAACATTTTTATATGCTTTTGGTTGATATGATAGAAATGTGAACAGATAAATGAAGCCAAATAATCTGTGAATCGGTGATGCTGCAGATAATTTAAAGTTGAGGGACAGACCTAGATGTTTAAACAGGGCAACTTCTTCGTCTCCCTCTTCACATCTTTCTTATTGTGTGTGTGTGTATGTGTGTGTGCGGCTTCTTTCTATGAATCTACTGTAGCGATCCTAAGTAGTCACTCTACCGAGCTAACTGTCCACATTTGATTGTTTCCAACAGTCAGTAGTGTCCAGACAGCAGGTTTAGACAGGTTGAACTTCTCTCTGCACTTTTGTTGCTGTCCATGTTGTCTACTTAGTCCTATTTATCTGTCTGGCAGGACCCTGAGGGCTGATGCTCCTTTTTCCGTGTGACCTCTTGCCCTCACAATACCGTCTAGAATCTCACACCCTCCCCTCAGGCCTCGGCTCGCAGCAAGAGGCCTGAGGGGACCTAAGCTGTTTGTAGACCTCGAGCATGGGTGACGAACCTGCAGCACAAGCCACCAGTATCCACAAGATAAACAGACAGGAAATTGTGCCTGTAAATATTTTAAGACTATTTAGAAAAAGAGGTAACTGTTCTGTGTTTAAAGATAATTTAATACATGTTTTGGGTGTTTGAATAAAGTGAATTAAGTTAAACTGAACTAAACCGAATGGAATACTTACCATTTCTTAGCTGTATGTTTAAAAAGGTCTGTTTGTTATTTCAAGTCAATACACACATTTGCTTAACACTGGTAAAACTGGATCAGACAGTAGAACAAAAAAATCTATCTGAATCTATCTGAAATGCAAAACTGACCTCTTAGCACACTCACCATTTAATGTGTTATCATTTATTTTTATTATCTTTTGGTTGCAAACATAACAAAACAAATCAGACAACAGATTAAACAATAAACTATAAACAGATACCACTACTTCAAATAATAATAATAATAATAATCAGACAATAAGCTAATTTTAAAATTGATTTATTATATAGTTAGGTCCAATATATAGGTCTTGAGTGCAACAGATGTGTGTGGGGAAGAGATGACAATAGTGATTCTGATTATGAGACTTTTTTTCTCCCTGAAAAGCTGCATTTCCTAGTATTTTATATCTCACACTACCTGCACATTGTAACATCTGTTGCAACTGGTCATCTTGCTCTTAAGATGGAGCAGTGTGAAGCCAAGTTCACTTGTATATTATTTTAAGGGGACTCAATTTCACAGATCATTTTTAGTTAACTTGTCACAAGGAGTATTATTCAACCAGTAAAAAACTGTTCTATAATGTTATGGCTCTGAAGCAACTTTACAAAGTTTTAAAAAACTAACCCTCGTGATGTCATTTGGGTTTTTACACCTGTGAACTTGAGGTTTGGGTATTTCATTTGTCTCTTTTGAGTGCCCAACCTTATGGATATGCAATTATACATCAGTGGACTGTCCCTTTAAGCTATTAGGGAAGATACTAAAGCTCTGCCCCCTGTTGCAAAAATGAAAACATTGCAAGTTAAAATGTCCTCAGATTTTTTTCCACATGAAAGCAATAGTCTGTGTGCAATTTTTGGGAGTTTCAGACCATTAAGACCCCATCAACACACATATAATCAATGTAAGTTTTAAAATATAGTTTAACTTGCATATCTGTGTCTTTAAGGCATTTAAAATACATAAAATGCATTATTATGATACTGAATTAATTTGTTTGTTAAATTAGTTATTGTATTTATTTGTCTCCAACCCAACATGAACTTATAAGATACCAAAAAAATACGATTGCAGTGGTAAAACATCAGACATGAACAGAACTTATTATATATAACATTACATTACATAGAAGTTTGTCTCCTGTCCCAAGCTTGACAAATAAAATCTGCCACAAATAGGTTTTCTTCCTAAAACATCAGAAATTAATTTAAACGTTTAGACCATAAATTTATACTTATATTGTAACAAGCAATAAAGCCATCTTCAGTCTCACCCAAATCATATTTAACAATCACTTCAAAATCTTTTCTCTTCAGGGAAAAGGTGAGGTATTGTGATCGCCACATATTACATCTGTTTACTTCTGAATCTCATTTTAGATTACAGGCCATTCATGAACATTTCACAGCTCTGATGTTGTCAAAAGAGGAAACGTGAAGCATCCAAACATATGGAGCACCAGATACAGATAGTGAGTGATTGCTATTCCACCGGGACAATGAAACCCACATCCCCCACCCAACAACGTGTGGTGGCAGCCAGCTGTCAGCTAATTAGAGAGGAAGAGGTTGGGGACCAAATTGTCACTGTTTGATGAAATCTACAGCTGATTCAGTTCAGTTGGTTCAGATATATGAAAACCTCTTCTAGTAGCAGAGGTGGAGAAAAGCTAAGAGAAGGAGGAGGGTGAAGGGGATGCTGATCGGAAATTACAGAAGGAGGAAATGATCCAGCATGATGACTGTGGTGGTGCTGCTGGTGATGATGATATCACCCTTATTGTACTTGAAAATTATTTTCAGAGGCTTAATGAAATTAAACTACATTTCTGTCACAACACATAAACACAATGCTCACAAAGGCTTTTGATGGACAGATGAAGGTTATGTAACACAGGTGCATCAGAGGAAATGTGTGTATGTGTATTGACATTTATTGAAAAACATCTTTTTTTTTATTTACAACACATTATCCTATATTCATTCTAGCATGAACATACATATACACACATATGATAGCTAAATATAGAATAAAAAAGGTGGTATATGTTAAGAAACACTTCTACATTACATTTAGCTGACGCTTTTATCCAAAGCGACTTACAATTGCTATACATGTGAGAGGTCTGGAGTAACAAGGGGTTAAGCATCTTGCTCAGGGACACAGTGGTGGATGGGTCACAGTGGGGGATTGAACCCAGGTCTCTTACACCAAAGGCAGGCATCTTATCCATTGTGCCATGACTCTCTAAAAGGGACAATTTCACCCTTTCACTTTTTACTTAATTGAAATCTTGAATGCAGGACTTTTACAGAGCATGATAAAAACAATTTTTGAAGTATGTCCCCCAAATATTTGGATCTCTTAATGACCCAACTTAAAAAGGACAATGTATGGGCTAGGAATAAATGTGCACATGGGCCTGTATTGATTTAACATTACAAACAATGTAGGGCCAGAGCTAAAAAAAACCTGATTAATATAGATGTAGTTCAAACAACATTAAACGATTATTTCATCAGATTGACACATCCTGTCACTGATTGTGGATTAGGTGGATTGTGATTAAGTGTATGATGCCTGCGGTATAAACATATTGTATTGAACTTGTCTTGACAAATACAAGTTCTCAAGCCTATCAAGAATAATTTCATTTTAATAATATTGAAGTCCTTATAATTCACAATAAAAATGTTAAAGCCATATTGTAAAGCAGGAAACCTCTTTAAAAGTGTACATGTCACTCAAGCCAGGAAGTGATTCGTCATGTTTAGTCTGCCTGATGAGAGCTGATCCGGTGATGTCATTATGACTTCAAAAGGTGGGCGGGGCGTGAGAGAGCGAGAGAGAGAGAGAGAGAGAGAGAGAGCGAGCACAGAAGCCCACGTAATTCAGTCTGTGTATAGGAGTAATAATAAAATAATCAGACCAACACACTGCATGTTGCGGTCCTATCTGACGCGTCAAACTGCACATCCTCCGCCAAAACTGCTGCAGGCTGTCAGGGGTTCTGATGCGGGCAGTCAGCATCCTCTCTCCTGCATCCAGAAGTGAATGAGGAGGGCCGGTGGCCGACAGGGAGGGGTCCTTTGATATCAGGGCTGCCTCCTCCTGGATGGAGCCCGGCTGTATGCAGTCAGCGATGGCCATGGGAGATGTCTCGAAAAAAGCGTCGGCTCGGAACGTGGCGGTGGAGCGAAAAAACCTCATCACCGTCTGCAGGTCAGTTTACTTACTACTTTAGTGTGTGTCTGTGTGTGTGTGTGTGTGTGTGTGTGTGTGTGTGTGTGTGTGTGTGTTGAAGTGCCTGTGCTCTGATAGCCTATAAGTGGAGATCTAATAGGTTAAATGTTGCGTTTATTGTTACAGTTAGGCTATATTTGAATGTTTAATGGCCTAACAACAATTTAGATCCTGGTGTTTTTGTTTTTCACTGTAAGCCACACATGCACAAGACATATTTTTGACATGCACGCCTAGCCTACGTCATCCTCATGCTATATGTCCTTTTTATGAACTCTGCACCGACAGTGGGCCTGTACTGACATGAAGCCTGTATATACAATGGCCTACTTTCTTAATAGGCCTAAAATCCGATAAAAAAATCCACAGATAGAGGTCTCTCTGTGTGAGTTTAGCAGTGTCATCTTTGTCAGTGCAATTTATTTTCTCCCAGCTGATGGCGTGGTTGCTATGAGACAACCTTCCTAGGGCAAGGACTAGCTGGCACCCCAGGGACTATGGGCAGGGAAGCAGCTATAAGGTCTGTACATCAAGTCCTGGACTTTGTGGGGGTTTTGGATAGAGGTTTGCACTTGAAGGCCCTTTACCAGAGCTTTTAAACAGCATATATACAATACCTAGCCTACAGAAACATACTGTGTGCATGCATGTTTGTAACCACTCAGCAAAGGCATAGGTTCGGGGGTCCATCAATTTATGTGGGAAATGTCTTTATTTATGTAAAGGGAAACTTTCAGGCAGAAGGTGACACTTAAAAATTAAAAAATGTAAAAATGAATAGGCTAAAGGCCTAATGCAATAAGGCTTTAAGGCGTTGTGTATTGCTTGTGTTTTTCTCCTGTGGATCAACTTTTCTCATTTAATATCATCCCTGCTGAGTCAACACATGTAGGCATGCTTTAGTCTTCCCTCCTCTTTTGTGTCCTTTGTTTGGGGAAGTACCTTCTGCAAACTTTCTGCACATTCAAAATCTACATATCTGTTTTCTCTGACATTTCGAGAAGAAGTTGTAATTTAATGAGAATAAAGTCATAATACTTTTAAACAATCTACCTGCACTACTACTACTCTGCTGTGCATTAACCCACTTTATATTGCTCTGCTGATATGATAGTATCCCCTTCATCCTTCTGATCATTGTTTTGGTTTTCTGGCCTGCAACTTAACTGTTTTGGTCCAGTCTCACCACTCTCATAGGGTCCATGTCTATTGCAATAATGCTGATATTTTGAATCTGCTGGGTGTGTAAATAGGCAGCTGTTTGCTACTTTTGCTATATCATCTTGTGTCAATGTTGTTTTCACAGCTAGCACCAAGTGGCCCCCCAAAAATCAGTTATTGCACATATACATGTGTGTACAACAAAAAGTCCACTGGTATTTTCAAGCCCTTCTCTTACCTCTCCTCACAGACATAGACTATACACCTTAAACAGCAAACGTGTTCATGTCTGGCTTCATGTCAGCTCTGCCTGTTCTGCCAAGATTCAAGTCACTGATGTTAAAGGCAAAAGTCAAGTCTAAAGTCTGTTTCTTGGGTCTGTTGTGACTAGGCCCCACAGTCATGTTCTTTTCATACTGTATGTAACACCTACTAAACAAACATACACACACACATTCAGACATCTGTGCAGGTGAACAAGACTGCACCTCTGCTGAGCCACTGACAAGCCTATCTGGGTCATGTCACGTCCCTGCTGTCTGTAATACAGTGAAAACACAGTGGATTGTGCTCGTTTTGAGGATAGTCAGCCAATTATTGTCCAGCATCTGGCCACAGTCGGAGCAGCTGAATGAGACATTGTTGCCTTTGAAACAATGGGGAGTGAAATCACTTGCTTCAATGCCCTGTGTTAGGATAAGCATTGTACACACACACCACGCAAACTGACTGTAAAGTGTTCAGATATGTTTTACTAAATATTATTATATACATCCAGAGTCAGAAAAACATGACCAATATCTATCAGAAATAATTTCGCTCCATGTATACCAGGGTTTCTTTGGTCCAAATGGCCCCTTTTCAACCAACAGCATATCACGGTGTCGCTGGACAAATAGCATGTGGCAGGTGTTCTTGCAGCAAATAGAAGTGCTGAATTATTTAGTCTAAAATATTTAGGAATGGTCATTTCAGGAGATGGTTAATGTTGCTTATAAGCCTAGAATTTTAGTTTAAACCGCATGGGGGTTCATGTGTGTGGGTGTATATATCCTGGGAGGAGGTCACCCCAGCTGACATTAAACCTCTTAATTATGCAGGTACATTGTTATACTCAAATCCATATTAATTATTTATAAATATTTAGTCATTCTGCCATCCAGGGATGGCAGTGTTGGTTGGTCAGTCCAGCACTTTGGTCCAGAAAGAAATATCTCATCAATGATAGATTGCCATGACTTTGGTATAGACATTCATGGTGCCCAGAGGATGACTTTTCCTCTTGTGCTGCCATGATATTAAATTTATGGTTTTAGTGAAATATTTTGACAACTACTTTATTGACTGCCATGAAATTGTTAGATATTAATGTCCCTCTCAGGATAAATTGTAATCACTTTGGTATTCCTCTACAGTCCCATCAGCCTCAGCTTCTTTATGTCTAGTACTAGTTAGCAAATGTTAGCATGCTAACACGCTTAATTAAAATGCTTTAAACTGTTCATCCAGGGTATTTAAATTCATTTGTTTTCCAAATAATTCATGTACTTAAAATGTAATTTATAGACATCAGCAAAGTGTATCACAAGCAGGCTTCCGTACAACCTTGAGTGTAATACATCAGACAAGAGTCATAAATTCAAGCTGTTCAATAAGAAGTCAATTTAGTTGTTGGGAGCTTCCTGAAAGCTCTCCATAAACATCTTCCTCACAGTAAATGGGTGACATCAGGCTCCATTGTAAAAACAAGAGTACAGTGTGACTGCGGGCAGAAATCTACATCAACAACAAAATGGAATGAACATGATGTGTGTTTAACAACCCAAGTTCTGATTCACTTTTTGATTTTATCCATTTTACAGGTTTTTATCATTGACTTTGTTTCACTAAATCCAGATGTTGGCAGAACACTATTCTTACATGGACTTTTGTGATTTATTTTCATCAAGTAAAGTATAATTATAGTTTGATCGATGAAATGTTCCTCCTACAGCGAACTGAAACAAAGAAAGCATTAATCCATTAATCTGCTCCCTGGCTAACTTATTCCCATGATGACTTTATTACTGGCAACTTCTCCTTCTCTTTGTCTTTCTCTACCACACAAAGGTTTTCAGTAAAGACGCTGTTAGAGAAATACACAGCCGAGCCCATAGATGATTCATCTGAGGAGTTCATCAATTTCGCAGCCATTCTTGAACACATCCTTAGCCACCGTTTCAAAGGTAATGAACCTAAATAAACCTAAATAAGGAACGTGTCTGGAAGGTTAACATGACATGTTAATAAAACTTGAAAAAACAGTGAACAATTTATGGAATCTGACTTAGAAGCAAAAAAGCATATTGAAAATGTTCAAATGCTGTTTTTGATAATGCATTTTTAGAAGACAATACTAATTTAGTCAATACTGACATTATTACTTAATTATTACTTACCAAATCTAAACATTGTTGTATTGTCTGCATTAATACTTGTTCTGAATTTTTAAATAAAATATAATAGTTTCTAAAATAACAACATAGTATCGCGTTCATCAGTCTATTATCAATGGCTGCAATCATTTTTTTGGTCAAACACTGTGGGGTTCCTCCTTCTGCAGCTCCTTGTTTCCATGAGGTCTCATGCTGTTAGCCCATACTCCACCCTCTGCTCACTGAAATAAATACACATTATAGTATGTGTTGAGAATTAAGTTAAACATATCAACATAGAAAATGCATTGAACAACATTCATGTTACACTCTTTTTCTAGGCTCCGGCAGTTGGTTTGATGGTCAGAGGAGTTACTGGGACTACATCCGTCTGGCCTGTGCTAAAGTACCCAACAGCTGCATCAGCAGCATCGAGAGCATGGAAAACATTAGCACCTCACGAGCCAAGGCAAGTCCCATATACAGTACAGTAATCTAAATATAAAACTAATTTTAAACATATTTATTTTTATTTTTATTTCCTTCATTTTCCTAGCTTGTGCTTGTTGGTTTCTTGGTATGTGGACATGTTTTTGTTTGAGGCCTTCCTTGGATTGGTCTTTCTAATTGATTGCCCTGATTTGAAACAGCTGTCCTAGTTAGCATTTACGCATAAATCAGATTTATGAGTATGCAACTATCCCAATCTTTCGCAATAGAAAGAAAACAATGAAAGAAAAAAAAATGTCTAAATAAAGGAAGAGTTGTAGTGCAGTCTCAAATAATGTAATAATAATAATGTTATATTGTACGTATAGTGTTTTAACCTTTGTTGTCTCCTTCAGGGTCGGGCCTGGATACGAGTAGCCCTGATGGAGAAGAGGTTGTCTGAATACATCGCCACTGCTCTGAGGGACAGCAGAACGACCAGGTTAGAGGCCACACATATACAGTAGTATTGCCCTATCCCGACTAGAACCATGTTCCTACCTGGATGTATTCGTCTCTTTGCTTTAGGAGGTTCTATGCAGAAGGAGCCATCGTGTTAAGAGAGGAAGCCACGGTCCTAACAGGGATGCTCATTGGTCTTGGAGCCATAGACTTTAGGTGAGGAAACATTTATGGATCAAATTGATACATTTAGATGGGTTTGTTATTTATCTTATTGATGTGTACTTTCTCTTCCACAGTTTCTGTCTGAAAGGGGAGGCTTTGGATGGGAAATCTTCAGCTGTGATTGATTACACACCATACTTAAAATTCACACAAAGGTATGTTCACTGACACTGTGTAAAATAGCGTTTTCACAGTGAATTTGTGAATTTCTCCACATAACCTTAAATACTTGGAGTGACTATACATTACTGATCCAATGAATCTTCACACAAATAAATGATCATTTACAGTACACATTGTTCCATCCTGGTATTGGATTTTTGCCTCAGGAAATATACCTCACTCCACCTTTAGGTATTGTAAATATGGTATTGTTCTGGTGGACAGTACATGCTGTTTGGTTTTGGTCTATGTGGCGATGCCATGCCTTCAAGGTGCCACATTTACCAATAACAGAAAAATCTCTTTGAGAATATTTATTTATTCACTTTACAAATAGGAGCTTCATTTCTTTTAGGATCTTACTTCTATGTCGTTTTCATAGCATGACTTGTTACAGTAGGAAAAGCACATTAACGACACTTGAAAATAAATCATTTTGCTGCGTCTTTTGTAGTTATGAATACCTGAGTGATGATGATGATCGACAGAGTGTTAACAGCAGCACAAGTGATGACAGCATCCCCGAACACCCCTACATCCCCCTGGTCACTGACGAGGAGAGCTGGAGCACAAAGTGTCGCAAGATGGAGCAGAGGTTCAAGATCGTCAATGCTCAAAAGGTGAGCGGCTTTTTTTTGTATTTGAACATACACAGTGTTGCTTGAAGAAATAGTTCATAGCTCATAGCATGAAATATGAAACTACATCCAGCAGCTGTTAGCTTAGCTTAATTTATCTTAACGATTGGAAACAGGGGGAAACAGGGAGAAACAGCTAGCCTGGCTCTGTACGGAGGCAAGAAAATTCACATACCAGCCCTTCAAAAGCTCACAAATTAACTAATGAATTAAGTTATATCTTGTTTGTTTTGCATAATTTATGAGGTGGGGTTATGTACCTAAACCATTTCTGTCCATGTCTTACTTTTGGAAAGAGCTACCTGTTTCCCTCTGTTTCCAGTCTTTATGCTGAGCTAAGCTAACCAGCTGCCTGTTGTAGCTTCATGTTTAATGCTCGAACATGAGAGTGGAATCGATCTTCTCATCTAACTCTCAGCAAGAAAATAAATCAAAAGCAAATAATTTTCCAAAATGTTGAACTATTACTTTGAATGAGTCATCTTACACTGGTTTTGCAGGGTATTGCATTGTCATCTTAAAATGATGATTAACATTTTGCTATCAAAAAGTGTTAGTTACTCTTATATGTTAAATATGGCATGGCATTTACTACATATGGTTAAGGAGAAGTCAAACCACAAAATCTCAAAATGATTTCTTTAAAACACGGAGCATCACAGATGTCTAATGTCTCATGAATGTCCGAGGGTGGAGATTTCCTTTCACTTAGTGTGGATGTGCGTTTTCAGGGTTACCTGGAGGAGCTTGTGCGCCTGCGTGAGTCCCAGCTGAAGAACACAGAAACAGAGAACAAAAGGCTGAAGGCCCGATTGGAGGAGCTACAGAGCCACAGCCAACAGGAGAAGAAGGACCTGGAGGCCATAGTCCTGGAGCTTCAGGAGCAGCTGTGAGTAATGTGGACAGAGGGTGGTGTCCAGGTTTCACCCACATACTGTATTCCTCAGTGCACTGCACTATGGCAAGCAGAAAAAGATAACCAGCTTAAATCACATTTGCCATTGGTTTAGTTGACGTTTTTGGTGCGTCTGTTCCAGAGGCCTGGATTGAATTACTTCTCAGTTATGTCTTGTATCCTCATGTTTGTCAGGACAAACTTGATTCCATGCGACTCCAACCACCTGGCCAAAAACCTCTCCATCCCTTTGGTCAATCAGTGGCCGACGCTCCAGCCGTACAACAACCAAGAGGACGTCAAGCTGTTCCGCAGGTTTGACCCCTTGAGCATCTGTCTCCTGGCATAACAGAGCTTATGTGTAGCATACGTAATTTAACTGTTATAGATGATTTTTGTATGTAATACTTGAAAAGAGAAACAAAAATGCACACACTCTATGACACCCACAAGTGACTGTCCTAGACGAGAATAAATCTGTCATATCAGCAAGGGTGTGGTGGTACGCTGTGTGCAATACTGCTAATTCCTGCTTCTCTAAGATATTAATATAATAATGATAATGTTTATGTATACAGACATTATATACATGCACCACAACATGCGCTTCTATGTACATGTATTATGTTGCACATATGTTGCATACAATAGCCTATATAGAAAATATTTGTTTTGTTAATTTGTTGATTATTTTGCTGTTTTTACATAGACTAGTGGGAATAATTATAGACTTCTACCATGTTTACTTATAATGAATTAAAATAATGATCCATTTAAGAAGCTGTTATATTGTTGTATGTATGTTGACAGGAGTCTGGACAGTCACAACTTCTACTAAAGCTTTTTTCATTTCATTTAGGTGGCACAGTGCTTATTAACATATCTCTAAACTAAAACAAATGTTGCAGGGAACAAATTGATTGTGAGAACATGGAAGACATATTTTGTGATTCCATGTACAATTTCAATTATTAATTCATAATTTAAAGATAGAAATGATTCCTTGGAAATGTATTTAACTTTAATTATTTATCTTACTTTGTGATTTACAGTGCATCTTTTAAATTAAATTAATTAATAATAAGTATTTAAACATACCAACCACAGCTGCAACTAATGGGCGTTACCGATTATTGATTGGGTCATTATTGATTAATCAGCCCATCATTTTCTCAATTATTCAGTTCATCATTTTGTCAATACAATGTCAGGGAACTTTACTGTTACTGTGTCCTAGAGCCCAAGGTGATGTCTTCAAATTGCTTGTTTTATGCAATAAACTTAAAAATCCAAAGATATTAAATTTACTAAATTATATGACAAAGAAAAACATCTCATCCTTTGATTTGGGAAGCCGATCCTAACAAATGTTTGACATTTTTGCTTGAAAAATGAAAAATGAATTGATTGAAACTCATTATCAAAATAGTTGCCCAAACTTTTTCAGCCAATAGACTAATTGATTAAGCTCAAATAGGAACTATAGGAGCTATAAAATTTTCCATTTTTTTATTGCTGTATCATTGACCCACTGTATTGTTGCTTAAACCCTTGACTCCTGTTGACCTGTAGGAGGAGTTTCCCCAGCACAGAGCTGCTGTCAGTGGAGATCAGCCTGGATTCAGACTCCCAGAGGATGGAGGGGAAACAGAATGGAGGAGCCTGGTGCACAGGTGAAATTTTAAACAGTTACACACTGTGTCCTCCTAAGATAATAAGTGAGTAAACACACATGAATTGACCCTCCCACTATGTGCCTGTCCCACCCCTCCAGAAAAAGACTACACCCCCTCCATGATGGGCCTGTGTGGGTCCTTGGCATCCCTCCCGAGCTGCAAGTCTCTGGCTAGCCTCAAGTCCAGCGAGTGCCTGGTTAACATCAGCACAGAGAACAGTCCTGCCCTCTCTCCCAGCTAGGGGGCGCCAAAGAAACACTGCCAACAACTTAACAGACTGCAATTCAACATGAATACAAAAAGACTACTTTTGGTAGGCGGACAAAAGCTCTCTTTCGTGGCCCTTACGTGAGTCCCTTTACCTTTCTGCTCTGCGCCCAGCACTCTCGCAACTGGAACCTTTTAAGTGTTTGTGAATGAGTAGCCTCTGTGTCTGGGACTGTCCAACAAAGACGCAGGAAAAGCTGCTGTACTGCCTGACGGCCTCCTTCTGTTTCACTGTCTTTATTTGTCTTGACATGATTAAGCCTCCAGAAATGCAAACAACAGGTTCAAGTTTGACCTCTCTTATGTCACAATACTTGATTTTGTGCACTTACAGTCACATATCTGTACAAAACTCGGTGTATGGTTGTTTTGTATGTACTTGTCCATTTGTCTGTGTCTTACCAGTCTGTGTATCTTATTCTGCCTCTTGCATAATACTGGCAGTGCAGGATGGATGAGTTATGAGTTATAACCTTTTATGGAACAGAAACAATGTTTTGCCATATAATATTACACTATTATAAGAGAGACAAAAAGAGAAGCTTGTGCAGATAAAGAGGCCAGAGGGTTTTATGATGAAGATTATTTTAAAATGAACAGATGCAGCTCCATGATATTTAGGATGAATGGCAGTTTAGGCCCTATTCCAACGTACTGAATGTTAGATACAGATTTTAGGATGTGACATAAAAGATCAGGCTACTAAGGTTTGCAGAGCCACTACAATGTGAACATAAAAACACTCACATAATATCTATTGCATACAATGCAAAGTGCATTGTGACTATGCAGAATGAATGTTTTCATTGTCTTTTTCTACAAACCTGGCTTGATAGAGTAGTTTGAGCGAGGAGAGAAATAGTGAATGTGCAATGTGAGTATGTGTGTCATTTTTACCCCAATTTTTTTCTTATGATCTGTTTTTATTTTTATATAATTTCACATCATACTTACATCTATCATTACCATCATGTAAATTGCAATCTCATGCAGTGTTGTTGAGAGTTACATTGCGTTGTTAAAAATTGCAATAAAACTTACTTTTTTTTGAAACATTAAATGCTGGTGTGCAATGGATGTGTATTTTCAGTCAGTCGGTCCACTAACTTTGGTGCAGAATTTAATATCTCAACAACTATTGGATGAATTGCCATGAACATAGTTCCCCAGATAATGCATTCTATTGATTTTCGTGATACCCAGACTTTTCCAGTAGCACCACTGACATTTTCAATTTGTCCAAAACTATGGTTAACTTTATGTCTAATTATCACCTGTATTTTTGTGCCTAAGTATGGCTAATTAGCAAGTGTTACTATGCTAACATG